AACTAGGCTCCCCATGTCCTCCTAGTCTGTGGAGGGGAGCACAGTGTTTTAGCAGAGGCACCACTGCAGTGGGGCCTAAACTGGAACTCTTAAAAAGATATAAAAGGAAATAAATAACAACAACAAAATGAAATATAGAAAAGAGAAACTGCTTGTAGTCGTAAATGAGCCTGATCTGTTGGGAGGCAGTGAATAGGTGAAGTGTGGCTAAATAGCGTTTGTTCAGGAGCTGGAACTGGGGAGGTAAGTGTTTGTAGAGTATTAGAAAATTAAGCTGCCAGTTGATGAAGAACTTTGTCAAACTTAAGTTTGAGTTTTATTTAATATGCTGAAAGGACTCGGAACCAGCAGTTAGCGTAATGGCTATGTTGCTGGACTCCCACGTATTCAACCGCGGTTCGCGTCCAGGACCCGGTGGCTTAAAACTCACACTGGGCGTGTGTGCGTGCGTGCCCAAGATCCTAGGAGGAGAATGGAGGAGAAGGGATTGCGGCGTGACCATCCCCCCTGGGGGGTGATTTCTCGCTTTCTATCTCTCTGTCTCTGTCTGTCTGGTGAGTGCACGTGCCCTATAGTGAAAACCTCTCCAAAAAAAAAAGAAGAATATGCTGTAAGGACTCACGGAGGTATGTAAGCAAGAGAATGACATAAATATACTTCATTTTGAGATCATTCTGATAGTAGGGTTAAGGCTGGCTTGGATAGAGTTACTCATGTAAGAGTAGATTTCAGATCAATGCAGCTGTCTAGCTGAAAGATAGAATCTGTCACGGGGGAATGGAGAGAAGAGATCTATTAATAATTCAATTAATACTTATGAAATAGAATTAAGAGTCTGAAACTGATCGGATATACGGGTTCAAGAAAGGTTTTGTTGTATTCTCTGAATTTCTTCCTTTGTAACTTAGTTTGAAATTGATTTCTATTGTTGTGTAGTATTTGGGCAGTTGAAGACCACTGTCTGAATTTTGGGCAAAAGTACTTTTTAGTTGTTAACATTTCAGGGATGATAATATGTGCAACTTATGTAATAGAAGAGTAAGTGCACTTTGGTATTTTTAATTTTGTTCTGTTCTATTTTAATGAAAAATATTGGTTTCCAAGTTTATTATAAGATCATGAAAACATTTCAGTTTGTGTTCATGATTTAATTATATATTCAGCATTTTATATAAAGTTTAAGTCTGGTTTGTCAGTAGTGTTACTTATATTGCTGGATTAGAATTGTCATTAAAATATTCAATGGGAAGATTTGTTAATTCTTCTAAGTGCAGTTAGAGACCTATTCCTATTTTGTAGAAGACTTGATACTGTATTCTTTTTTGCTTCCACTTTAATAAAAACACCTTTAGGAAGAAATTAAAATAGGTTGCTTCTTCATTTGTTGCCAATCTTCCTATATAACCAGTGTGACAAAAAATAATATTTTACATAATCCTCAGGCATTCAGTATTTTACATAAAAAGAGCTGCAATTAGTATTGTAAAATGTAACATGCTGTCTTTCAAAGAGGAGTTTCAAGGCAGAGAACGATGGCTCAGAATCTTTGGTGTCCTTACAGCAGCGCTTTCACCTTTGTTCTAGAAGGAGCAATTTTATAGTCATCCAGTACTTTAACATTCTGGTCATGTAGGTAAGACTTTATTGCCAGAGAACATCCAACTTCATTTAAAGTTTTTTTGAAAAGTGCACACATAGGTGCATATCTAGAGATTGAGTGTTCCCATTTTAGTATCATAGTCCTATAATCATCTGTCAGAAAATTTTCCTTATTAAATCACCTGATGAGTGTATTTTACGTTCAGACTGCTTTGTAATTCTATTGAGTTAGCCAAGTCAGGATGTGTCATTGTTCATAGTGAATTCATTCAATATAAATGAAAAGATTAGAAGGTTATTTTATCATAATGTTTGTTAATCATCTTCAGTGTTCTAGAAACATAAAATATATTGGGTCTTTTTAAAAAAGTAGTTATACTTAAAGGTAAGGCAATTGAACTCAAGCTAGATGAGAACAACTTATACAGGTTTTTTTAATCGTTTTATTATGTTTCTGTCATTTTTGGGAAGCTAAGTGAATTGCCTTACTTTCTTTAAATGAATAAATTTTGTGAAAATTTTACCAAAATGACGTCTTTATGAACAAATCAAAATATCTTACTGATTTAAAAGAACACAAGATGTTCTGTTTGGGGCATTACCCCATTGATTGGTCTGTTTGTCTGATATGATTGGACTTGATATTTACTTTCTTCTTGTAAAGCTCTTGTGATAAGGATACCTACCTAGACAAAGGAGGACCTCATAGACTTTTTTTCTCAATATATATGAATTGCTATGCTTTTCCAGTTGATCCTCTTGGAGCTTTAAAAAGCTTTGAGCATTTTCTTCTTCTAGTGAAATTAGTTAATTTTGATATTATTAAAACAAGCTTGTAGCTATATCAGCCAAAACAAAGAACCAGTCTTTTCTGAGGGGTTTATTTTTAATTCAAGGAAGTTTTCTTTTTTTCTATTTTAAGTTTAGATAGGCTATTTTTGTGTACATTACATACAACTTCATATTTTTTATACATATTTTTTAACACTTTTTAAAACTGGTAGTACTGGGGGGACCAGTAGTTAGGATTCCCATGTAGTTGACCACGGTTCACATCCTGGACCCCGGTGGCTTAAAACTCATGCCGGTCATGTGTGCATGGGTGCCCAAGATCCTGAGAGGAGAATGGAGGAGAAGGAATTGTGGCATGGCCATGCCCCCCAGGGGTGATTTCTCATTTCTGTCTCTCTGTCTGTCTGGCGAGTGCGCACGCCCTATAGTAAAAAAAAAAATCCTCTCCAAAAAAGAAAACCAAACTGGTAGTACTAGGATTTATATGTTAGAATGTATTCATTTTATTCCAACGAAGGCCAACTAAGGTTACATTTCCATTCTGGGTAAGAAAATTACCTCCCAAGACTTTTATTAAGTAGTTGCTTAAATGTTAAGGGTATTATTGGATTTATTAATAGTAGATGGTAAATATTTTAAAAAATAAAACATCCTCCCCCAATTATCAAAGTAAAATGTAATAATTAAAAGAATAATAAAAGCATGAAAGTCAAAGAAATCATTAGTTATTCTACCGTGTAGAGAAAACTATCGAATATTAGCAGTATTTTGTTGTATTTCTTTTCAGTTGCTATGTGTATTCTTTGTGGGTTTTTTATTTTTTATTTTTATTTTAATTATTTGGTATCTGCAGACTGAGTAAGGGCTGGGAAACATGGTCTTTGCTCTTAATGAGTATCTTTTTCTATCACTAGCTTGCTAATAGAAATACCCAAGGTTAGGTGACTTTTTAAAGAAGTAAGAAGTTTATTTCACCATTTCTGGTGGCTAGAAAGTCCAAAGGCATAGGCCTACAGCATAAACTATGAAGCACAGAGGATGGCAGGAACATGCAGAAAGAGAAAAGTAGCTTGTGTGTGTGCTCGCTCTCTCTCATAGCAGTCAGTTCTCATGAGAACTGACCTCTTCTCATGAGATCTAAAACTCACCGAAACATCACTAATCTATTCATGAGAGTGTTACCACCATGATACAGTCACCATGAACAAGTCACTGGAGCCTGGGCCTCACCATCTTCCAATCTCAAATTTCAGGACATGAAACTTGAGGGACAAACCATGATCTGACCATAACATTCACAAGTATTGCTACAGCTTAGCAGGAGGAGAGGTACATGAACAGATGCCTTTGCTTTGATGTGGTAGGTTCTAAGGTGGAGATAGCAAAGAAGAATTCAGAGAATTATTATGCAGTGTGAAATCTGAAATTATTTGTGAATTTCTTATTTATCGAATTTTGTATCTTGTTTATATTGGCAACATAAGCATTTTGTATTGTTAGATTCTTTTCTTTATTTTAATGACCAAATTTCTGTTCCTTCTCAAAACCCTTTTGAGTTTAATTTTATTTTTTCCTTATTATAACTAATATTTAAAGAGCAATGTGTGTTTTGAGCCCCACTCCTCCAAATATTGCATGATTTCCTTGAGAGTGAGAGTAATGGGGTGAGTATAACCATGTAAAGACTCATGATATATATTGCCTAATAGGTCTTCCAGAGATTAACATTATCATCAGTGGTGTATTAGGATGTTCTTAAAAAATTGCTTTACTCTTTGGCTGAATAGTTTTGCTAGATTGATAGCTGAAAAATAGCATGTCACTTGAATTTGATACTACTTATTACCAGTGGGTTTGGACCTTTTTTCTTGATTTTTTTTTTATCTATGTGTGTTTTCTTGTCCTTGTTCTTTGTCCATTTGCCTGTTCGATATTTATGATATTTTGTTGTTTTGTGTTTAGTCTGCTTAGGGTTTTTTTTTCTTTTTTCAATTATACATCAACCTTTTGTTTGCCATACTTGAAGATATCTTTAGCGTTTACCTTAAAATTTTTTAATATATAGGCAAAAGTTTGATGATTTAAAATATTGCATGCTTACTTACATTTGTGTCTGCTGTGAAAATGAGTTACAAGCTTATAAGGTAGCAATCTACTAAAGCAAATTGTGAGAAGACCTTTTCCTGAGTTGCTAGGTAAATAAGCCCTTGGTATGTATTCTTCTGTGACTGTGATTCAAATAATGGAATTTAGAGTTTGTTGAAGGATGGAGTGTTAGCATGTCTCAGACCATTTTCTCTGTAAGTTTTACGTAGGGACTGGATAATACAGTCAGGTGCTGCTTAGCTGCTTGGAAATGTTCGGAGAAAATGAGTTGTTTATGTGATTTTATTGTTGCACAAGCATCACCGAGTGTTCTCACACAAACCTGTAGTATACCCTATTACATACTTAGGCTATATGGTGTAAGCTATTGCTCCTAAGATACAAACTTGCATAGCATGTACTGAGATAATTGTTAAGACACTTGTATATCTAAACTTGGAAAAAGTACAGTGAAATATGGTGTAAAAGATTAAAAAATGGTACTCCTGTACAGGGCACTGACCATGACCATTAATGAAGCTAACAGGGCAGAACTTGCTCTGGGTGAGCCGGTTGGTGAGTGACTGAGTAGAAGTAAATCACTGTGAAGACCCAAGAAATCACCCTCTAGGAGGGATGGCCACACCACAATCCCTTCTCCTTCATTCTCCTCTTGGGATCTTGGGAACATATGCACACGCACCTGGGGTGAGTTTAAGCCACCGGGTCTGGGATTTGAACCATAGTTGACTACATGGGAGTCCAGCGATGTAGCCATTATGCCATCTGCTGGTCCCTATAAACTATAATTTAAACAAACCTTTTCAACTTCATTAATAACTTTAGGTGCAAATGTAAGCACATTGTACAGCTATATAAAAATATTTTCTTTCTTTATGTTTTTCAAACTTGCTAAAAACTAAGACATAGGACTGACCCCATAGTGCAGTGGTTAAGTGCTGAGTGGAAGAAGATGACTCTTAACATGGCTGACTATGGTTTGAATCCAAGCTGGAGCAGCTGGATAAAAACACTGAATGTGTGTCTGCCCTTGCCCAGGATCTTAATAGAAAAGAAGAATGGAGGAAAAGTGATTGTAATGGGACAAGGCCCCACTGAGGCTCTCTTTCTCTCACCTCTCCCTTACCCTCTCTATCCCTTATGTGCATGCCTGCAGGCATTAAAAAGGAAACAAAACTTAAGATACACTTTAGCCTACAGAGTCAGGATGGTCAGTATGACTATCTTTCACCTCTTCGTCTTATACTCCAGGATGAGTTAGCCTTTCTTCAAGTAAAGGAGTGGATTAACATCTGGCTGTAGCTACTCCTTAGGAATCAGTTGAATTTTGGAGAATATTTTACAATTAGAATGCCTTTTTCACTCTACGTCAGTGTTCTACAAACTGTAACCCATGGGTCAAACCTGGAAAAGTTTCATTGCAGCATAGCCACTCCTGTTCTGTTGTCTACAGTTGATTTGTACTACAATCGATGAGTTGGAGATCAAATGGTCCATAATGCTGAAAATATTGTTTGACCCTTTACAGAATATATTCTGTTGAGCTATTCTTTTGGCAGTAGTTAATTATATATAAGAATAATTAAAGGTTTTCCTAGTTCCCAATAACATCATAGCATTGTAATATACAATGATTCCTCTGACTTTCCCAATATTGGTGTGGGGAGGTGGGAGGAAGGGAGTAAAACAGTGAGTGAGTTTTATTTTGTCCTTTTATTTACAAATGGTTTCCTTGGCTAAGATCTGTCAACAATAACTGAGGTAGAGGTGTGTTGTGGTCTAAAATGAGCACTGCTTTGTGCTATTCAAGTAGTTACATAATCTGAAAACAAGGGTTTTTACTTTGCTTTAGTGGTTTTATGCAAAAGGTTTTTTTTTTTTGTAAAAATTGCTACGAGGAACCCATTGAATTTCTGTATCATGAGCTATAGCTGGTTTTTAAACTCAGAATCAAATGTCGATGTAATATGCAAATCAGCATACATAATTTTTAGCATTTCTTCCATAAAATGTGAATAAATAATAATAATAGTAATAGGATGGAGTTAAGAAAATAGAAAAGCTGGTTTTATTTGGCATATATATATATATATATTTTGTTGTTGTTTGTTTTGTTTTGTGACCAGCAGATGGTATAATGGTTATGTTGCTGGACTCCCACATAGTTGACTGCAGTTCAAGTCCTAGACCCGGTGGCTTAAAACTCAATGCCAGGTGTGTGTGTGTACATGTGTGCCCAAGATCCTGAGAAGAGAAGGGATCACAACATGGTCATCCCCCAACCCCCTGAGGGATGATTTCTTGCTTTCTGTCCTTCTGTCTCTCTGGTGAATGCACAACCCTATAGCAAAAATCTCTCTCAAAAACCAAAAATTAAAAAAAAGTTTTTATCATTTATGTCATTATTAGTGAGATTGAACATCTTTATTTTCATTTACATATGCTTTCAGCCTGTTTATGCAGTTTGCTCTGTGTTTTTTTTTTTTTTTTAGAGATTTTTTTCATAGGGCACATACACTTGCCAGAGAGAGACAAAGACAGAAAGCGAGAAATCACCCTCAATGAGGGTGGCCACACTGCAGTCCCTCCTCCTCCATTCTCCTCTTGTGCTTTTGGGCACACATGCACACGTGCCTGGGGTGCATTTCAAGCCTCTGAACTGCGGTTGGCTATGTGGGAGTCCAGCAACGTAACCGTTATGTCATCTGCTGGTTCCAGCTCTGTATTCCTAAAAAAAAAAAAAAAAAAAAAAAAAAAAAATCACCTAAATGAACAGAGAAAGAAAGCAGTGGGCTGTTTTAATAGTGGTTGGGTGGGACTTTTGAGTTCATTTAGATGGGGTATTACATAATTGAAGAGGACATTCAGTGTAAGTTGTAGATCACAGATCACAGTTAGGACAAAATATTTTAACCTGCTGCTTAAATTTGAGACTATTTAATCAGATGCATCAAAGTAGTCTCATCTAAGATAGGTCTAGAATATGTAAAGTTTTAGGTGATTGCTCTGACGTCAATGCTAGAAGTATATCTTTGGCCAATATTTCTCAATTTTGACTGTTAATTTAAATGCATATGGCTTTAAAGGCTGCTTATATACTTCATACATTGGTAAGACCCAAATTTAACTTATATCTAAATTCAAGATAGTATTCATGTGATATAATGTTTTATCCAAACTAAATCATTGGGTTAACCTATGGCCTGATGGTTAGGGGAATTGGATCCCACATGACCAACCATGACTTGAATCCTGGTTCCAGCAACTTTGAACAACATGCTGGGTGCAAATTCCTCCAAATCCCAACAGGGTGGAAAAGTGGAGGAGGGGAGGGTATTGTGGTGTGACCATGCCCCATTGGGGAGTGCTTTCTCCCTTTCCTCTCACTCTCTGCATTTAGTAGAAAATAAATACCCTCTCCCTAATACAAATAAATCACTAATATTGGGTTTATTATGGTGGAAGTAGATTCAGGTCTGGTTTTATTATTCTGTTTCTATATTTCAATTTTGACATTATTATAGAGAATGACTACACTCGAAGTGTGGCAAAAAACGATGTAATTAATTTTATGCTCATGTTTGTCATTTTATGATCCTTATGTTTAAATTGCCAGAAGGCATTCTTTGCTTGCCAATTTCAGTAGGATGTCACTTGATAATTCCGTAAAGCTGTCTCATTTCAAATCATGATAAGGGCCTCACAAAGTCACTTGTTCTTCACTTAGAAACAGCTGTAATTGTGAACATAAAACATACATAGGGATGTTGAAATTATGTGATGACAACTCTGTTTTAAGGTAGCTGTGTAAGTTTTAATGTGTTCATGAAATTTTAAAGGATCATCATTGAAATGAAACCTAAAATTCTTTTAGAGAACTTGATAACCTTTATGAATAAGTCTGTAGGACCCAATTGAGAATCACTGTGTTAGACACCAGTACAGATTACATACTTCTACAACTTTTATATTAAATTCAACAGATTCAAAATTGCTCTAATTATTATAAAAATTTCTAAATGTTTATTCTAATTTCTAACTAAAGTTGTTGCACCTAATAAATTTGCAATAGATGGTTCAGACTGGCACTAATCAAGAGGGAAGCTCTGGGGGCCAGTGACTTAGACAATAAAAGAATGAAGTTAGATAAAGTGATGGGCAAACAGAAAAAGTTAATAAGTAAAAGGTAAAAATGGGCAAGATAAGTTAAATATTAGCTAAAAAAATAAAGACTTAATGTAACTTAAAAGGATAAATAAAGAAGAGTGTAGGAAAACGTCATATTGTTACCAAACTTTATCAAGATAATTAAAGAAAAATATTCAATTAAAATAGTTCAAAACAACTGAAAATTTTTAAGTGACTAGTTTAAATGACTAGGTAGAAAAAAACTGAATTTTTAAATCTTCCGCAAGAACATTCGGCTTATATTGTCATGCACTATGATTCAGTTAAATTGTCCTTAAGCCCCAGATCTCAGGTAATACTTGCATTGTTTGTGGAATCATAGATGCCTACGTAACAAGTATTCTGAAACTGAGTGCTGGCATTTAAAAATCAACAGATATTTATTTTATTTTATTTTTAAAGGTTTGTTTTATTTAGCTTTTTTTTTGCTTATTTATTTGTTTTTAAATTTGATCAGAGAGGGACAATGCGAGAGAGAGAGAGAGCGAGCGAGCGAGCAAGCAAGCTGTCATGTCCAACACTCAAACTGTGGTTGGCCATATGGGAGACCAGTGCCCTTAACCACCGTGCTACCTGCCATCCCTGATAGATTATTTTTTTAAGAGAGATTTTTGCTATAGGGCATGTGCATTTGCCAGACAGAGAGACAGAAAGTGAGAAATCACCCCACCGTCCAGGAGGGATGGCCATACTGCAATCCCTTGTCCTCTCAGGATTTTGGTCATGCACGCACATGCACCTGGACTGAGTTTTAACCCACTGAGTCTGGGACTCAAACCATGGTCAACTATATGGGAATCCAGCGATGTGATCATTCCACCATCTACTGGTCTCCCCTTTTTAAAGTTTTTGCCATAGGGTATGTCTCCCGGAGACAGACAAGAGAGAGACAGTGAGAGGGGAAGTCAGAAATCACCCTCCAGGGGAAATGGTCACTCTGCAATCTCTTCTTTCTTTTCTTCTTGGGATTTTGGGTATGCACATTCAGGCACCTGGTGGAATATTTCAAAATGCTAGGTCTAGACTCAAACTGAGATTGGCTATGTGGGAGTCCTGCGCCTTAACCACTACATTGCTGTTGGTCCCGATAAATTATTAATGTCAGCAGTATATGTTTAGAAGTTCAATATTCAGCAGATGGTGCAGTGGTTAAGCTGCTGAACTCCATGGCTGACCATGGTTTGAGTCCCAGGCCTGGTGGCTTGTTTTCTCTCTTTTTCTCTCTCTTTCATGAGCGCATGTACTCTATAGCAAATAATAATAATTATTATAAATAAAATTAATTAAAATAAAAAATAATGTTTAATATCCAGAAGCAGAAAATACATTTCTTTAGTCAGAGGAAGCTATGAAACCAGGATTCATGTGATATATAAGTTTATTTAGTGAATCTTAGACTTTATTGATCATTTTAAATGATTATATTTGGGTAGAAAATAATATTTTATAACCTATGTGTATTTTTCACTAAGTTAAGAAAAATAAACTGCTTACTCATAATTATAATATTTAACTGTTGCATCTTTTCCTTTGTAGGCCCAGACTATTCATCAGCATGGTTACCTGGTAATGAATCACTGTGTCAGGCCACAACTGTTCCATCTAACCATCGAAACAACCATATCAGGAGACATAGTATAGCTTCTGACAGTGGAGACACTGGCATTGGAACTTCCTGTTCTGACAGTGTTGAAGGTGAGCTAAATTCTTAATGTATGGATTTAAATGAATGATTATAATATGAATGTTATGTGTTGTAATATGTAATATGGAAGGACAATGTTCTATTGTTCTAAGCTAAAAATTACTAAGTAGTGTCTGAATATTTAATAATGTTAAATGTGGAATCAGCAGATGGCATAATGGTTACATTACTGGACTCCCATGTAGTTGACCGTGGTTCAGGTCCCAGACCCTGCAACTTAAAACTCATGTTGGGTATGTGTGCGTGCATGCCCAAAATCCCAAGAGGAGAATGGAGGAGAAGAGACTGTGATGTGGCCATCCCCCCGGGTGGTGATTTCTCGCTTTCTATTTCTCTGTCCCCTTGTCTCTTTGGCAAGTGCACATATCCTATATTAAAAATTTTCTCCAAAAAAAAAATGTTAAATGTTGCTGTATATCAAATGGAATTGTCCCGCTGTTTTGATTTTTTCTACATTGTAAAAAGTCAAACCTTTTATTTTGAGATAATTGGAGATTTACAGAGTTTTGGAAGGTTCCATGTACCTTTATCCTTTCCTCTCCCATGGTAGTAGCTTCTACAGTACAGTATCTCAACCAAAGTATCCACATCGCTAAGGTTACAATATGAACATTTCATATACCTCATGTTGCTTGGACCCACTCTTCTCTCTCTGCTACCCCTTTAACTGTTGAGATCACTAATCTAGTCTCCATTTTTATAATTTTGTCATTTCAAGAATACTATATGTAAATGAAATCATATAGTATGAAACTTGTTGGTATGGCTTTTTTTCCTGAAGATTCATTCAGGTTGCACTAAGAATTAATAGTTGATTTTTTATTGATAAGTAATACTCAGCAATGGTGATATTGAAGGGTCTACACTTTGTTTAACCATAAACCCACTGAAAGACATCTGGGTTGTTTCTAGGTTTTGACTATGATGAGCAAGGCTATTTAGATATGCATGTATAGGTTTTGGTGTAAACATATGTGTTCATTTCTGGGGAAGATGCCCAAGGGTACAATTGCTGTATTGTATAGTAGTTGCATACGTAGTTTTAAAAGAAACCATTCACAGAGTTTGAACGACTTTACCATTTCCTTTAGAAATGTATGTGTAAGTAATCTAGTTTTCTCTTTATTCTTGCTAACATTTGCTATATTTACAATTTTAGCTATTCTGACATATAGTGATATCTAATTATGGTAGTGATACCCTACTTTTAACTTTTAAAATTTTGCTATAGTGCACGTGTACTGGTCAGGGAGAGAAAAAGAGTGAGTGAGCATCCTCCCCCCCCCCCAGATGGCCACACCACAGTCCCTTCTTCCCTATTCTCTTCTCAGGATTCTGGGCATGTATACACACGTGTCCGGCATGATTTTCAAGCCACCAGGTCCAGGACTTGAGCTGCAGTTGACCATGTACGAATCCAGTGCCTCAGCCACCGTGCCAATTGCTGGCCCCAATTTCAGAGGCTCTTAAGTAAAAGTTAATATACAAAAAAGAAGTTGATTTCAGGAAGGAAATAAAAATCAAACCAAACAATTAAAGTATCTCTAAAAGGTGAGAATTTATTATTTTTTTAAAAAATATAGCCTTTAAGTGTATTTTCAATGGGTAACTGTTGATACTCCTGAAATATTAATGTCTCTTTATAGTCATTTCTTTTTAAACATGTACATGTGCATTTGAGAGAGAAAGGAAGAGAGAGAAGGCCTAGTCATGCTTTTATCTCCCCTCTCTGACCCTCCAGCTCCTCAGGATCCTGGGTACTCATCTGCTCACCCAGTATATTTTCATTCTGGCCTGGGACCCAAACCTGGTTGACCATAAGATTTCTAGTCTTGCAGGGCACTTGTGATACTCCTGTAACACAGTAGCTGGGCCTAGGCTTTGCCTATTCCCTCCCCACCCCCCCGCTCGCCCCCTCCCACTGTCCAGTATCTTAATGGAATATTTTTTCAAGTTATAAACAAAAAGTAGGATTTTTTTTGGGGGGAGGGGAGGACCACTTAGTCGTAGTATTAGAACTGGATGGGACTTTAAAGGTAATAGAATGAATTAGGCCATTATATAAACAAACTAGTTTGAAAAAGATGAAACTTCTGTTACTAATAAGGTGAAAGGTTTGAATTACATTTAAAAGCTCTTATTTAATTATCTGTGCAGTCTTAAATAATTTATTGCATCTTTGAACCTCAGTTTTTTTCATCATTAAATTGTAGATAATAACACATACTTTACGTATTATGTGGATTTCATAACATGGCTTTAAAATTACTTAGTGCTGTTCCTCACATTATCATTCTTACTTAAGAAGTGATTCTTGTTCTCCTTCTTGCTCCCTTATATTTTTTCACGTGTCTCTTTTCTCAAATTTCTCTTTCCTAGGAAGTTTTCCCAGTTGCTTTATTAAGAGAATGATACTTTTCCTGCCACCCTCTGAATTTTGTACTCCTTGCTTTATTTTGGGTTTATTGTTTCTATCATAGAGGAGAGACTAGCATGTACTGGGTACTCGATTTTGCTGAAATAGTGGATATGTAGACTCCCAGGCGAGGTTTCTATATTTAGCCATGCTCTCTTTCAGTCCTGAGTTTGTAACAGGTATTTCCAAGGTTACAACCTCTTTGATGTTCCGTCAGACAGGTGAACTCTCTCTGCAACATTCTCAGGCTGGTATTTATAGCATGTATTCTTCTGTTCTGGTTTAATATTTAATACTTTTACATTTTCTGTATTTTCATGAATTTTATTGTGATTTTTTTTTCCTGAGTATCCTTTTGCTGTAGGTTTCTACCTTATTACTTTTCTGTCATTCCACTGGATCTTGGGGGGAGAGAATATACCTGTGTGTATTTAGGCAATAATCTTAAGCCGTAAATCCTTGTCATAGATGTAAATGCAGGAAAAAATGAAGCCAAAAATAACTTATAAAGAGTTGTAAAACTTTTCCTTAATGTCAGCTGCTATTATGTATTTCTGCTATTTGTTTTTACTGATTTACAAATGCACATTTAAAAGAGCATAAAAAGTATAAAGATAACTTAAAAAGCAAATTTTTGTTTTAAATATTATAATCATGGTTTGAAAAATTTAATTTTATATAGGATTATATAGAATAAAAAATGAAATCTCTATTTCCTCTCTTCCAAATCTTTGCTTTGTTTTCAGAGGTTGCCAATTATTAGTGTGCTGCAAATTGATCTATGCATATATTCATATACACACAGGTTTTTAAATAAAACTGATTTTCCTACATATGTTTTATGATTTATTTTCCTTTTCTTCTTTTTTAACTATGCCAGAGGGTGCATCAGAGATATAGAGAAAGAGAAACTGACCTCCTTACAGGGCCTGGTTACACTGTAGTCTTTTTTCCTCTAGTTCTCCATTCTTTTAGGATCCTGGACACCTGCACATATGCCTGTTCTGTAAGCAGCTGGGACTGGGACTTGAACCCTGGTTGGTTATGTGGGAATCTGGCTTTCTCTGCACAGCACTTAAACTCTGTGTTATAGGACTAGTCTCCCCTTTTTGACTTCTATATATTAGTTTTTTAAAAAAATATATTTTCTATTGTGAAATGATTTATGTGACTTAATCTTTAGTACCTGAAACTTTTAAAATTAGTTTATTTCAGTAGATTCAACCACAGAGGTAAATGTAGAAGCCTAGGACTGGGTTTGACCTCCAGAGACATTTGAGAGTATAGCAGGCTTCAATGGTGCGAGGGAGGGGCTTTTTATTTTTTCCCCCTGTGTTAGAATGAACACATAAGATAAATAAAACACCTCACCAGTTTTTAATATATGAGTTTGAACAGCAAAGCAGAGACTAAAACAATCACCTAGAATTTCTTTTCTACCATTTGGCCAAAAACACATATATACACACATGTATGTTTATAGGCAATGGGGCTACATGATAACATTTCAGTCATCAGCACATGACATAATGACAGTGGCCCCATAAGTTTATAGTAGGCTGTAACAAATAGCCTAGGCGTGTAGTCAGCTCTACCGTCTAGGTTTGTGTAGGTATGCTCTAGGACGTTCACACAATAATGAAATTGCCCAATGATGCATTGATTTCTCAGAACATGTTCATGTTGCTAATCTATGCATGATTGTATTCATAATGTATTTGTCTAGCATATATATCAAACTAAGTACTTTTTAAAACAACATGCATTTATGGGACCAGCAGTTGGTATAATGGCTATGTCAGTGGACTCCCATGTAGTTGACTGTGGTTCGAGTCCCAGACCCAGTGGCTTAAACTCATGCTGGGTGCATGTGTGTGCATGCCCAAGATCCCAAGAGGAGAATGGAGGAGAAGGGATTGTGGCGTGGCCATCCCCCAGGAGGGTGATTTCTTGCTTTCTGTCTCTCTGTCTCTCTTTGTCTCTCTGGCGAGCGCATGCACCCTATAGAAAAATCCTCTCCAAATAAAAAAACAACATGCATTTATGGAAATCTAATTCATGATATAAAGGAGGTAGTTCAAAGAAGTATATAGATGGGAACCAGCAGTTAGTGTAATGGCTATGTCGTTGGACTCCCATGTAGTCGACTGCGGTTCGCTTCCTGGACCCGGTGGCTTAAAACTCACGCCGGGTGCGTGTGCGTGTGCGTGTGTGCCCAAGATCCCGAGAGGAGAATGGAGGAGAAGGGATTGCGGCATGACCATCCCCCCGGGGGTGATTTCTCACTTTCTGTCTCTATGTCTCTGTCTGTCTGGCGAGCGCACGCGCCCTATAGCGAAAACCTCTCCAAAAAAAAAAAAAAACTCACGCCGGGCGTGTGTGCATGCGTGCCCAAGATCCCGAGAGGAGAATGGAGGAGAAGGGATTGCGGCATGACCATCCCCCCGGGGGTGATTTCTCACTTTCTGTCTCTATGTCTCTGTCTGTCTGGCGAGCGCACGCGCCCTATAGCGAAAACCTCTCCAAAAAAAAAAAACCAAAGAAGTATGTAGAAGTTCAGCCTGAAAAAAGTGG